GCTGCTTTGCAATAATTTGCATGTTTTGTGTGTGGATTTGGTTACTGAGTTGTATACTTTATGACTACATTCAGTTAAATATTGGAAGTTTATTGTGTGATCATATTTGTTTAGCTTAATGCAGATATGTTGGAAAATCAAGAACAGTGGCTTGATACAGCACCTATCTACTAGCACTTCTGGTAGAATTAATGCCATTTACTTTTACCTACCTCTTACAATCAGTGGTTTTACCAATGGACTTGTCAAAGTGAGTGTAAAAGTCTATGTTCATTGACATAGGAAAACAAAAGCCGAATAAGACTGAAAAGGATAAGGAGCATAAGGACTAACATGAAGGGGTTACAAAATGAAAAATTTCAGGGACTTGAGTGACTTGTAAGGTGAAACATGATCAATCTCATCCAGGGGTTGTAAAAAAGCTGGCTGATCATTCTGCTCCTCAGTAGTAACAAGTTCCCAAAGAGAAAAAAGATTAATCTTGTTAGCTAGGCTGGTGGACTGCACTGTGCTGCAACTCTAGACTTAATATATTCTTTTGTAGAGAAGAGGTCAAGAATTGACAGAAATGGATGTAAATATGAATCTGGGTTCAGTGTTGCATCTAACTATTGTTAAAGGTAGTTAGAAAAAAACAATTTGCAAAAGTTTTAAAGGACTTTTTTTTAACTTTGCTGAATTGGATTTTTCATGATTGGATTAATGAAAATTTTTCTTGATTTGAGAACTAGCTTTCTCCCTCCTTTTTTTTTTATTTTTCACTGCCATTATTTTGTGAATGCTTCTTCAGAAAATTTGTACATATTAACCAAATTTTTTACTTAGCCTAGTAGTTATCATTATTGTCAGGTCTTTCTGATGGTGTTATTCTAATGACCAGTGAATTAGTATGGGGAATGTTTACACAATTCTGAAAGTTTTCTTCCTTGAAAATCCAGATTTAAATCTGTTATATCTCTATATAACAGATATAGAGTTATATATATAGAGAGAGAGTTATATATATATATAGAGAGAGATATATAGAGAGATATATATAGAGATATATATAGAGATATATATAGATATATATAGAGATATATAGAGAGATATATATAGAGTTATATCTCTATATAACAGATTTTTATAAGTTTTTCAAATTTTTAACTTATAAGCACATTTCCTTAAAGATAACTGGCATTGCATTTAAACACGCAATAGAGTCCTTTCCAATCCTATTTTATGATTCTATGACTCTTTCATAAATTTGTCCCTAAGCCAAACATCATAAACTTGGCTTTTTTTCTCTCTGTATGAACAAAAAACATATATATGTGATGAAAATAAAATTGCAATATAAATCTGTTGACATTCAGTTTTGTGTATATTTTGTTGGCATCTATTTTCATTATGGAAACTAAATTTGTAACTATTAATGCAAATATATTTGCTTACCCAAGACTTCAGTGCCAACTTTTGCGATTAAGATTACCTAAAGTACGTCGGCCACATTTTAACTGTGAGTTTTTACAGTATTTTAAACATGTAAGTAAACAAGCCACAGTATATATAGGCAGTGTAATTTTTTTTAAAAGGTCATCTGTATAAGTCAGCTACAAATCACTTCTTTTTTTTCATTGCTAGTCAAGTCTCATTGCCACTATTTATTTGATGAAAGTTCTATGTAAATATATTAAAAATGTTTTCATGGTTTTTATTGCTGGATAATTCAGACCCCATTATTGACACTGTTTCCTGATTTATTTTTAGTTTCTTTATTCAGAAAAGTCTTCTAAATTTAGGGAGGCATAAAGTTGACAAAAAGCTGCATATGTTTTTCCTACCCTCTTCCAATTGCCTGACAGTTTGTCAAGAGTGTAAAATTATGTAGCAGAGCGTAAAATATGGATTAAACAAAATTCAATCATCTTGAAAGGGGCACGGGTTTGTTTTGGTTTTCTGCCATTATTTTCTTCTTTTTTTTTCTTTCTCTATCTGTGCATGTTTTGTTCTCCCCTGCTTTTAAGCAAAATGATGTGATTTATCACAGTGCTTTACTTTGGTTCCTAGCTCAATGAAATAATTCAACACATAGCTCTTTTTTATTGTGTTTTTATTTCAGCAAGCCATTTTTTTGCACAATAGCACAGTGTTTGGGCACTTGAAAATTCAAATGAAAAGGGGAATTTTTCCCTCAGAGAAGTTTTTGACCAACTTTTCTAATCAGAGCATGCTATTTGAAGAATGTTGCCAAGCTATATGCTTTTTCTGTTTATTGTGTACATTTCTTTGCTTGTGCAAACACAACCTGTTGTATGTTTTGCATACAATATTAATGAAATATATCACATGTTGTTTTGGTCATGTAATTTGTTTATTCTGAGCAGTTGGTAGTTTATGACTGGGCTTTCCCATTTGTGCATTTTGTTTCTCAAAAGAGAACAGGTTCCCAAAGCAAAAAAAAGAGGAACTGCTGAAATCTGTAGTAAAAAAATATATCTCTGACAAAAGGCTAATGAGAGTATCTCTGGAAAAGTCTAGAGAATATGGAGAGAGCAAAAGACGATCGAGTAATACAACAGAGGTATCATACAGCAGGGGAAATGTAGTTTACCTCCTCCCTCCCCCCTCCCCCCCTCTCCCCAAAATCAAAACAATGAACCCAGGAAAGAATAAAAAATAGAAAATATATCCAGATTTTTTTTTTTTCAGATTAAAAAGTGATTCAAAGACCAGTCACATTCAAATTGTCACAGGAAATGTGTAACTGTACTCATGGGCATTTTATGAGCATCTCTTATGAAGGTTTCAAAGAAGAAAATCTGCTAACATTTTAGTGAATGTAATAAGAAATCCAACAATGTCCTCTTCCAGGTTCAGATGCATTTTTTTTTATACTACAAAATGTTTCCATTAAGGAATTTCTCTAATTTCAGTAGGGTCTTCATGATATATATATATATATATATGTATATATATAAAAATTCTTTTACAGTTATTTTTGTACTTAGGTAATTAATTAAACTAAAAAAAATTCAAGGAGAGAAAAGATTAGCTGAAAAGGAGTAAGTGGGACAGGGGAAGGAGAGAAAAATGTTGGGAAAGAAAAACTGGAATATAGGCAGCACATGGTGGGGTGGAAGTAAAGTAACTCTGCAGGCATTTTAAATGACATAAAGAGGCAACCCTAAAAATAGTAAAATGGGTTATTCTTCACAAATAGGAAAAAATCCAAACAATCAACCAGGAATGGTCAAAGGGTGTAAGTAGAAATATCTGAACTGGAAGTAACTTAATATATTTACACAATAGCATACTGTTTGACACTTGAAAATTCAAATGAAAAGAGGAAATTTTCCCTTGTAGTAGTTTTTGACCAACTTTTCTACTTAGAGCATATTATTTGAAAAACGTTTCCAATGCCTGAAGGGGGTCTACAAGGATGCTGAGAGGGACTCTTCCTCAGGGACTGTAGTGATAAGACAAACTGTAATGGGTTTAAATTTAAACAGGGGAAGTTCAGATTAGATATAAGGAAGTCCTTTACTGTGAGGGTGGTGGGGCACTGGAACAGGTTGCCCAGAGAAGTGGTAAATGCTCCATCCCTCACAGTATTCAAGGCTAGGTTGGACAGGGCCTTGGGCAATGTGGTGTACTGGCAGTCAGGGTGGAACAAAATGACCTTAAGGTCCTTTCCAGCCCTAACTATTCTATGATTCTGTGATTTTGGCTGTGATTGCAACTGTAACCAATCAGTAGGCTGTGATTGGTCCCTAGAGTTTGTTTGGTTTTTTTTTTGCATATTGTTATTGGCCATTTTTAAATCAAAATCAAAATGGATTCTTACATAGGACAACCACATATTTTCGATCCCCAGTAGGAATCACTGGATCAAATTACACCTTTCTGTGTTATTCAGAAGTCAGTGTAGATTATCAGTGTCCTCTCATGGGAGCTATGCTTCTTAAAGCTTCTTAGAAAGTAATGTAAATTGTAAAGACAGAGGAAACTCTACTTAAATACTAAATAAATAACTATAGCTCTTTCAGTTGAAAAGATCTGTTTCAAAGGAACAGATCAATGTAGTAATTATTATAAAAATGGTCACAATATGATATACTTCATACAGCTTAAATTTGACTGCTTGTCAGGAGGAGAGGAAAGTCTGATTTGCTGTCAGATTCAAAAGTTCATACTTGTCCACTTCCGCCATTCTGCCTCCCTTATTCAACTCTTTCAATGTTGCTCTAAAAGAAAATGGATTTTGACTGAATTTATAAAGTTAATCTTTCTTTCTGTGGGTTTTTTTTTACTTCACAGTTTGTGTGAAGCAGGCTTTAAAACATTGGCCAGAAGTCTGCGAGCAATGACAACCAGGGATTTGAAACAGGAGAATTAGTAGCAGTTCCAGGTATCAGTGGGTACGAAGGTCTCTGTCATTAAGGACCACGACTAAATAAACATGCTGGGATATGATTGCTTTATTGCTGTTTGCTCATTTTATGTCATTTTATTGCCTTACTAATGGCTGTAGGATTAGGTGTGTAAGGGAGTTCTGAAAATGTAGAGCTAAAAGGTATATAAAAAAGTGTGTGCTTTCCATAGAGATTCTAACTTTTTCTCATCATGGATGGTGGAGAGACTAATTTACCTTGAATAGATAAGCACGGGTAGGGATAGAGGCACAGAGGGACCTAAATAACAGATCCATTTCAAGGCTTCATCCTCACTTCACTACACCTGATGGTTTCTATGTGTCTTTATAGTGGCCCCAGTGGGAGAGGCTGTGTCATTACAAGTAGTGCTTTTTCCTTCACAGTTAGTCAAACAGTATGTTTCTTAACCAGGGTCTAAATGTGAAAATATTCAGATAAGTATTAATTATATGTGTATTTAAGTATTAAATAAAACACTCTAATTTCTGATATTGCCAGCATCAATCTGGTATATTGGTGTAACTATCACTTCTGAGGATAGGAATTACTGATGGGCTAATAATTTTACTGCTTTCTATTTTGCATGCACTGCAGTTTCACAGGATTGATAAAGAATGTAGTTCCTCAGCAGACCTACAATTTAGACTGTAAGAATCTCTGTTCTTGACTAAAGTCCTGTTGCATCTAAATAAGGAAAGTTAGTTTCATTTCTGATGTCCAGAAATGATTTTCTGTGTTGTCAGTTTCTTCCAAGGGAAAGAACGATGTATGACCCAAAAGGTTTCTAGTGAAATAAAAAACAAAGCAAGGAATATTATCTTAGTTGAAGCTAGTGGATGCGTATTTTTTCAATAAGAAAACCTGAAAATAGCATGCTCTTTTTTTTGGATCTTAACAGCATGAAGTTACATTTGGGATGCAGAAAAAAAAAATTTCAGAATTTTATGAGTGACCAGTGTATATTTTGTTTGATTCAGTAATTACTTATAAATGTACAGAGGACACATACACAAGAATTGTTGTGGTTTAAACCCAGCTGGCAACCATGTACCATTCAGCCTCTCACCTAGGAAGAAAATTAACTCTATCCAGACAAAACCAGGGCAGTATCTATAGAATTAATAGGTAACTCTGACATAAATATGCATAAAGTAAAAAAAGAAATATAGTTACTGCCCAGCTAAAGCTTAGCATTTAAAAGTGCAGTTTACCCAAGAAAAGTCAATGGGGCTGCAAGAGTTGTAAAGTAGTTCTCAAGGTTACTACAGAATGTCCCTTTGTTTCCTTTACGCCTTTATCCTTCATGAAACCCTCTCCACATAGTCAAATTAAATTTCTCTTTCAGGCTTTTCTACTACAAAACCTGGTTTACTATGCAGTTTACCCAGAACCTAAACATTAGAGTCATCCAAAGAGCTGGGAATCTTTTATTCATATGCTTCTATGTCAACACTTCTACACTCTTAAAAACCATTTTGTCTCTTATTCCCTATATGTAATCCTTCCAGATAGTATTTTAAGACATTGTATAAATTCTATGCTTTTTAATTCTACAAGTGGAAGAAAATCTGGCATCAACATTGTCTGATGACTTAAGTGTTTTCTCAAAGTTTCTTTAATCTTCAGAATTGCCTTTGTACCTTGAGTGAAAGCACTGTGTTCTCAGCTCTTATAATCCAAATAAGAATTTTCTTTAGGAGTATAGTTGGTTTGCATTCCATTTATTTTACTCTTATTGGCTGCAGGTATTACCTAGAGGATGGAAAAACAGTCTAGGAAATCACCCTTCCCTCGCCTGTGTATGGAGAACTGAAGATTCTATACAGTGTTGTGTTTTTTTTTGAATGTAAGTAAAGTTTTGCTGCATGCTTCACCAACCTCCTTTCTTGCTAGCTGTCCTATTTCCACATGCAACTCTCAGAAAAAGATGAACATTTGGAGATGCAACTGATGGAAAGGTCATGAGCTCCTGAAAACCACATAAATACCTCAGAAACTGGAGAAATTTGTGCTTGGTTTCTGCAAGCTATGCACACACCAAAGTTTTTTGTTAAATGGTATAATTATGTTATTCACCCAAGTCTGTGTGTGCTCCTCGTGGGACAATTGCTCCCTCACCATATCTTATGACTTTCTCCAGTTGTTCAGATTTTCCAGTATCCTTCTGGGAAAGGTGAACAGAAAACACTATTTTTTGTTTTGGGTTGGTTTGTTTGTTTGGTTTTTTTTTTCTTTTTTCTTTTTTCTTTTTTTAATGCTTTAAAGAGCTAATTGAGGATTTGCAGCTCCAACATGTATTGACCTTGAAGACCCAGTCTTGAAAGGGGATGATTTTTTCTACTGATTTCATTAGAATTTGAGTGATTAGGTATTCTTCTGTTCTGGGCCTTAAATATACAGCACTTCAAAAAATATTTTTCCCTTTTCCACTTTCTTAAGTAAGTTCTATTGTGAATGTTTCCTTCTGTACCCCAGTGAACTCCATGATTCTTGTTCCTTCCCACTCAGCAGCAACGTGTGCATTTTGAATTCAGTCCTGCTTGGTTCATCAGGATGGTTTTTGCACATTTTCCCTTTTTAATTATATAACACCACTTTGCATAGTTTGTGCAAACATCCTTTGGAATTGTTACAATTTAATTTTCTGTCAAGGATAGTTCCAAAGAAGAGAAAATGATTGGCAGAGGAAATGATGCTGATGTATATCTTATTTGCAATTCTAATAACAGCTTTGTGAATTTGAACACATTAGGAAAGAGCACTTCACTCAAGTGCACATAATTGCAGAACTTGCTAAACATGCCTAAGGATAATGCTACTCCAATCTGGGCAAATTAGATGGATAACATCGTTTGCAGCAGTTGTTAATTATGTATCAGCTGCAGTGACAGCATAATTCTGTTAATTGCTTATCACACTAAGGTTAACTTGCTGTCATTTATATTTGTTTAATTCATAATTAGAAAAACACACTTGATATAGTTCACTGACCACTTTTAAAACAAATCTTAATGATGTAAATATTCGGCAACATAAGACTAGAAAAGATCTCCTGAGTCATCAGTTTGACTGATGTCACCAGCCCTTTCATAAATTCCTCTCAGTGTCTGGTTAGGTTCCTCATCAATACTACCTAAATAGAAGTTTGTTACAGTGCTGTAACCCTGCCATGTTTAGAAGCTTTCTACTTGCCAGTTTCAAATTTATGCCTTTGTTGTTATGGCAGCATTGTTTTATCATCTAAATAATTCCAGCCCCTCTATGATGTTGACCATGCATGGTTTATTTGTGAAATAAACTCCCTCTCACTTTTTGCATCCCTCAGATGGGCAAAACAGCTCCTTTTAGTCTTCTTCCATAAGATCTAAATTCTCATGCCCTGAACATGGCTGGCAAGCCATTAATACTCCTTAATTCCAGCCATAATGTCAGCTTTTAAATCCCCGCCTCGTGCAGATGGAAGAAGAAATGCCATTCACTGTCAGATGAATGACAGCAGGAGGTGTAGATGAGTTTTGCTGGCTCTATGAAATGTGTCCAGAAATACTGGTGGAAGAGACTGTCTGACTTCTTATTTTGGCTAAGTGAACCTACATGGCAGTATTTTAATGAAAACTCTTTGAGACAGCTAGGTGAGTCTTTTCAAACTAAGTCCCTTATGGTAATTTATGTATCTATCTAAAAAAAAAAAATAAAAAATAGGGAATGCCATAGTTATTTAGCCACAATAGAAAGGTATTGTGTTTCTGAAAGAATAAAAATTCAGTTAAGTGAAAAACTGGGGGACAGTTGTGGAACAATCCTGTACTGGGGGAAGAATTAGGGAGCTGAATGCAGGGAAGCTCTGCTGAGAAGAACCAAAGGGTCTTGGTAGACAGAGTGCAGAGCATGAGCCAGTAGTGTATCCTGAAACCAGAGGACCAACAGCATCCTGGGCTGTATTAGCAGGATCGAGAGAAGTGATTACTCCGTTTTACTCAACAGTTGTTAGATGTCATCTAAAATGGTGAATCCAGTTTTGCCCCTTCCCTTCCCTTGTGTCCTCTTCTTTCTTCAAAGATAGGCATGGATAAAATGGAGGAAGTCCGAAGGAGGGCCATCAAGATGGTCAGGGCCTTGAACACCTGCCCAATTTCAGCCTGGAGATGAGATGCCTTTGGGGAAGAGGTCTCACAACAGCCTCTGCTGCCTAAAGGTGGTTTGTGAAAAGATGAAGCCAGGCTTTTCACTGTGGCGCAGGTGGAAGGACAAGAGACTATAGATGTAATTTCACACAGGAGAATTTCAGACTGTGGGTAAGGAGAAAAATGCCCCCTCTGAGAAGCAAGGGATACCATGTCCAGGAGAGGAACAGGGTGCCCAAAGAGATTGGGCTGTCTTCATCCTTCAAAGTAGTTCCAGATATGGCTGGATAAAGCCCTTAGCAACCTGGACTGACCTGATTGAGGAGAAAGTTGAACTCAGTGATCTTCTAAGGTCTTTGAAATTAAGCATTAAGAATGCATTCAGGATTCTTCATGTCAATAGCGGTATTTCATATAGCTCCTCTGTTTGGACTTTTAAAACTGACTATTGGGTGACATACAAACGCCCAGGCTTTAACTTCACTTCTGTATCTTTTCGTTCTTGACTGAATTTTATATTCAGATCCCCTTCAGGAAATAACAGAATCATAGAATCATAGAATCATTGGGGTTGGAAAGGACCTTAAGATCATCTAGTTCCAACTCCCCTGCCATGGGCAGGGACACCTCACACTAAACCATGTCACCCAAGGCCTCGTCCAACCTGGTCTTGAACACTGCCAGGGATGGACCATTCACAACCTCCCTGGGCAACCCATTCCAGTGCCTCACCACCATCACAGCAAAGAATTCCCTCCTCATATCCAATCTAAACTTCCCCTGTTTAAGTTTTAACCTGTTAACCCTTTGTCCTATCACTAAAGTCCCTAATGAATAGTCCCTCCCCAGCATCCCTATAGGCCCCCTTCAGATACTGGAAGGCTGCTATGAGGTCTCCACACAACCTTCTCTTCTCCAGGCTGAACAGCCTCAGCTTTCTCAGCCTATCTTCATATGGGAGGTGCTCCAGTTCCCTGATCATCCTCATGGCCCTCCTCTGGACTTGTTCCAACAGTTCCATGTCCTTTTAATGTTGAGGATACCAGAACTGTACACAATACTCCATGTGAGGTCTCACAAGAGCAGGTGAGGTCTCACAAAAGCAACGACAATAATATTTTTTTGCATTATTATTTTCCTTCTCCTTTTTCTTGGGTACACATTCACAAACCAGAACTGCAGGCAGCACCATGCAGTACAGCTGTCCCACATTTAGACAAGGTAGCTTAATATTTGCTTTGTTGTTCTCTGTTATGAGAAATGATCTTCACCTAACTTGGTTTTGGATTATACTACATATATCTCATTTTTTATAAAACACAGAAGTACCTGGGCCTGATTTTGTTAATCCTCATTTAGAATAGTGTTCATCATTTTATGATTGTACACATGGCTATTATTAATTTGGCTGACTCCCTTCCTGAAGCTCAGGCCCTCTGAAACATATTTTAGGTTGGAACAAACATTCATTATGTGAACTAGGAATATAACAATATTTTGAATTTGTTTTAAAATATGATAAAGGATGTTTTTCTTCTGGCATTCAGAATCTGTAACAGGTGGGCTATATGATATATTTTCAATTTTGAGAAAGTGCTAAGGTGAAAAGTACAGGAGGTGAGTCTCTACCTTCAGCTCTCTTCTCAGATTTTGGGGAGTCCTTTGTGTAGGTTCACTCCACCTAACTAGGTGGTTGTGCGCTTGTGTGAGCACTTTGGTTAGTCAACCAGTGGGAAGAAGTGGATGCTCTGAGAGGTGATTCAATTCAACCTACTGTTAAAGATAGGTATGATGAAAATGTTTAAATGTACCTGTTTCTGATCATCGTATACAAAAGAAGTAAGATATCTAATTTGCATGCAGATGACTATATTGTGGACATGTGGACTCAGGTGTCATAAACACTATTTGTCCTTTGCCTTGGTTCTCTGTTCATAAAAAGGGGAATATAGTTTGTCTCTCTGTCACAGATATGGAGATAATGTTTCTGAATGCAAAGTTTTCTGATAAAATGATGGAGCCTACTTACATGAACAAATTAAAACCAAGAAATACACATGGGCATTGCTGATGCCCGTAAGACCCACTCAGACACAGCTGTTACGTATGATATTTAAGGTAGACATGACTATTTAACCTACATTATTGCAGCTACATATAACTTTTCAGATTGTATCTTGATAATTTTTATTGTGGTTGTGGTCAGTTGCTCAATGTCCAGTTGGAAAACAGTAATGATTGGTGTCCCTCAGGGATCAGTGTTGGGACTGGTCTTTGACATCTTTGTCAGTGACATGGACAGTGGGATTGAGTGTGCCCTCAGCAAGTTTGCCGATGACACCAAGCTGTGTGGTTCGGTTGATACACTGGAGGGAAGGAATGCCATCCAGAGGGACCTTGACACGCTTGTGAGGTGGGCTGATGCCAATCTCATGAAGTTTAACCATGACAAGTGCTAGGTCTTACACCCGGGTTGGAGCAATCCCAGGAACAGCTACGAGATTGGCAGAGAAGAGATTCAGAGTAGCCCTGAGGAGAAGGACTTGGGGGTGTTGGTTGATGAGAAAATGAACATGAGCCAGCAGTGCACGCTTTGAGCCCAGAAAGCCAACCATATCCTGGGCTGCATCAAAAGGAGCGTGACCAGCAGGTCGAAGGAGGTGATCCTGCCCCTCTACTCTGCTCTTGTGAGACCTCACCTGGAGTATTGTATGCAGTTGTGGTGTCCTCAACATTAAAAGGACGTGGAACGTTGGAATAAGTCCAGAGGGGGGCCATGAGGATGATCAGGGGACTGGAGCACCTCCCATATGAAGACAGGCTGAGAAAGTTGGGGCTGTTCAGCCTGGAGAAGAGAAGGCTGTGTGGAGACCTCATAGCAGCCTCCTGTATCTGAAGGGGGCCTATAGGGATGCTGGGGAGGAACTCTGCATTAGGGACTGTAGTGACAGGACAAGGGATAATGGGTTAAAACTTAAACAGGGGATGTTTAGATCATACATAAGGAAGAGTTTCTTTGCTGTGAGGGTGGTGAGGCACTGGAATGGGTTTCCCAAGGAAGCTGTGAATACTCCATCCCTGGCAGTGTTCAAGGCCTGGCTGGACAGAGCCTTGGGTGGCATGGTTTAGTGTGAGGTGTCCCTGCCCATGGCAGGGGGGTTGGAACTAGATGATCTTAAGGTCCTTTCCAACTCTATCTATTCTATGATTCTATAATCCTGTAACTGCACCTATGTCCATTTCTCAAAGTTTCCTCTTATCCACTTTTAAGATTGAAGCTAAGCACAACTTCACAGGACCGCTTCTTTCATAGTTTCCATGCCAATGCATTTTTTCCTGCTCAGCTTGATCAGTGCTCTGGCTTTATTAACCAGAGAGATGCAGCCCACCTTATTTTTCTAATATTTATCATCAGCTTTTAAAAGGGACTTTTACTGATCTTAAGCCTATTAAAATCACTGTTAAAAATGTGTTTGGAGCAGATATGTCTGTATTTCTTGGAGGTCACAGCTAATGTTCTGTTCCTACCTGGGAACACACCTGATGTGTTAAAATAAAAAGAGAAACACTGTCCAACTGCAGAGTGGATCTCTATGTCCACAAGAAAGAACAGACTTAAGCTCTTCTAGAAGATTCTGTTTTATGTGCTCTGGGATCTGAATTTATAAGACGTACAATGCAGATGCCTCTTTCCATAAAGGCATCAAGTGTCCAGGTCCTCCACTATTCTCAGGACAGCCCTGTTTGTATTTTGCAATGAGATATGGTTGTTGTTTCATGTTTGTTGAAACCAAGAACGATGTTGTTCTCTTAAGGAAAATACAATTTTAATACGAAATTTCTTGGTTTATGACATAGTGGAATGGTTTCTTTGGCCCAATTTAGGATATTTTAGAAGCTTTGGATTGTTGGTTTTGAAATACTTTACAAACTATTATTTCAGCAGTACTAAATCCCATAATATGTTATTGTTCTCAAACCAGAAAGCATCCCTTTAAAATTCAGGGTATTTTAAATGCATGCCTCCCCAGAAGTTAATTTGTTTTAAAAAAACCCTTCATATTTATTTGATGCATAAAATTGAATAATTTTGATACTTTGAGCTGTTACAAAATATCATTGATACAGAATATTTTAATAATTTTGTATTGTTCCTTCATGAGGGTAATATTTTTAAATTTCTGTCCTTTTGTTATAATTTCTGTTTAAACTCATAAACATGCTCTGAACTTCCCATTAACTGATTTTCATAAGAATAAAATTGAGAGAAGTTGCCAAGCTAAGCATAATCATGCTAGTGCCTTGGAAGAGTCAAGTCAGGTGTGTTGACACAACATTCTTTCTGCAGGAATGTGATGAGTCAGTTTAGACTCTAGTTAAAATTTTTAATTTTAGACAGAGTAACTGAAAATAATGGGAATTCTCTGCCTAGTTATTTAATTAGTCTTTTTCATAGGACCATGAGTTATATAGTCACTAGCACAGGCAGAAATGTACTGAGTTTGTTTTGAAACAGTATGTAGAAATATAATTCAGAAGAGGATAGAATATAGAAATTTGAAGACTTGCTGCAATTAATTCATCACACACAAACAAAAGATTCTAGGCAAACTGAAAAAAAAAGCACCAAACAAACCTTACCTTTATGCTGGTTAACCTTTTTTTGAACTCTTTTATTGTGTATGAGAAAGGCAATGGTGTTTACCTGTGGAAAAAAAAAACCAACTCATTATGCAATATTTCCAAGATAAATGTGGATAATTTGTAAATAAAATTTATCTAACTGGTAATATAAAACATTGTTTATGAGCAAGTTTGTATAAAAACCTGCCAAGAAGGCTTCTTAAGAAATTACTAATCACCTGGGGATGACTGAACAAGAGTTTTTAGTCTTGCTTATCAATATCATGATGGTTTGGCTTTATCTTATACCTGAACTCCTTCCTCTTTTCTTCTCATTTCATTCTGTTCTGCAGAACAAGTCTCTGATTAATTTCCTGTGTATATCAGAAAATAATGAGTTACCTGATTTAAGCAAATAATTAACAAGTGACTCCAGTCATTTAACTGTAACTCAGCAAAACCCACCATAAAACTATGCTACAAAAATCCTTTAAGCCATCTAAACTGGCTATGCTTCATGGCTATTGTAAGTTTTCAAGAATAAAACGAATTGAAGAATATTAAGCTAAAATAGAAATACTAAACAGTAAAGTCTACCTAATAGCGAGTCAAATACTTAACAGTCTGGCTTATCTGTTGCTACATAAAAAGCAGAAGTATCCTATTTTTTATCCTTCCTCTTCATGAAAATGCACAATTTTCCAATAGTGCCTGCTAAAGCCAGATAGGGTTAGCAAATTTACTGTTAATCTGGACACAAAGCAAGCACAGGAATGGATTGAAGTGGAAAAATGCAGATTTGCAACTATCTTATGGAGGGAATCTGCACATGGACAATACAATGTCAAGAATTACTAGGACCCAGTATGTAGAAGGAAGAGTTTCCCCCTGTCAAATCCATTTTTGTAGGTATACTCAATGACAATTCAGGAGGAAAATCCAGCTGTCAGAAAAACACTGACAATAAATTCCTGTGTGTGCATATATACACATACATATGTATGTATAAACCAAGTTTTTAAATCTATATAACATTTGATGTCCACATGTGCTGCAATATACTGCAGACAGCCTCCTGGAACAGCTAGATAAAGGAATATAACTACTCTGAGTTCTCAGTCTTTACCTTCTATGTCCTGTACCTGGCATACTATGTTCTGACTGAATAGAATAGAACAGAACACAGCAGAGCAGAGCAGTCTGTTTTTGTTGGAAGGGACTTAAAACTTTCAACTAGTCCAACTTCTGATCACTTCAGGGCTGACCAAGTTAAAGCCTGTTATTAAGGGCACTGTCCAAATGCCTCTTAAACATCAGCAGGCTTGGGGCACTGACCACCTCCATAGGAAGCCAGTTCTGGTGTGTGACCACTCTCTCAGTGAAGAAATGTTTCCTATTGACCAGTCTAAACCTCTCCTGGCACACCTTTGAACCATTCCCATGCATCCTACCAGTGATCCCAGGGAGAAGAAATCAGCATCTCCCTATCTCTCCACTTCTCCTCCTCAGGAAGCTCTAGAGAGCCATGAGATGACCCCTTAACTTCCTTTTTGACTCACTGTCATCAGGCTTCCACTTCACCATTAGCTACCCCTCTAAATCTTCTATAAATGTGTTTATTCAGTAGGCACCATCACAACCTTGACTTTCATTACCCAGACACACTGCTTTCTATCAGTGCAGTTGCACAGCTACTAGTTGATGTTTTGTGATGACCTATATACAATGGTCTATGTATGACCTCTTGATTATGAGATGGCTTTTTCTGGACTATTTCCTGCTCTTCAGCAGTGGTATTAATTGGTGAAAGGCTGTCCTATGCTAAGTTGTAGGCTAAGAAATCTCAGGAGAGTTTTAAAGTTATTAGATGCTGACATACATTTATTATAGGAGTAATTCAGCTCTCCTTAGTTGAAGAAATTCAGTGCAACATAATAATAATGATAATAATAATGTGAAATAAAAATAGCAAAAATCTTCCTGAATCTGGTAGGTAATCAAGGGCTGGAGAGTGCAGCTGCAGAACCACCACACATAGATACACCACTCATTTCAGTAAACCATGACAGCATGCACAGGTCGTCTGGAAAATGCAGCAGATATTAATAATTTTGATCTGTGCAGACAGTGAATGAATGCAGCATGAGAATCATCCTTAAAACACACCTTTCTGTTAAAGAGAGAATGCAACTAAGAGTTTGCAAACTGGAATGCGTCTCGTACCTTATGAGGTGCTACTCAAGGTACTCACTGATGTATTTGTGCATGTATAAGTGATAAATAAAATCAGATAAACCAGACAGATTTGATTACCTTGAGCTTAAGTCATGGATGTAACATCTTCCCTTTGCATATGACACCATTATATTACTGTTGCTATGCTAGTAACATATCACCTCAGTGACAATGTGGTATATAAAGTGAATAAATCATGTATCCTTTTAGAATAAAACTGCTGGAGGATATGAAAGTGGACTGTATCCTTAGCCAGTGTAAATTATCTTAAGAGTTATCCTGCAGCAACTATTCTTCAGGCTCAAAATATTTTAGAGCTTTCATAATCCTTTGGTATTTCCCCTCAAGTACAGATAGGGTAAAGACCCAAGTGGATGCATTTCATAGAACTTGAAGTATTAAATCTCTTACACACTTTTGAAACTCTGATGTAGATTACTCATTGACATCTTCGTAACTATTTTGGGATTGTTTCCAGCTTGAAAAATTTGCTGAACAGGGTGGGTCTGTAGTGTTTGACAAGTCAGAAGCCCGGCGTGTTGCTGGCTTTCTGAATTTATTCATATTCGTGGTAGTTGAGGTTGTAGCTGGGTGTTCTTAGAGATGGATACTTTATGAAGCTCAAAGCATAAATATAAAGACAATTCAGACTTTGTAATAATGTTCTGTTCCCTGTTACACCAAAATGAAAAAAAATAAAAAACCAACCCAACCCTCATCATAACTTATTAAAGAAAGCTGTGTATTTTTCCTGTTTGATACAGTGGTGCTCAACATAATGAATCACCAATTCAAATGAAAAAAGGTGCAGATTCAATATGTGTAAGAATCTCATTTTTATAGGATGCCTGAGGTGGTCTAAGTGTCTAGAAATGTGTGTAATGGAAACAGGCTTAGCCTAGACTTTCCACAAAGGTTTGTACTTAGGTTTCACCTAGCATGATTTGTTGCAGCTTATTTTACCACCTTGCCTAGTAAATGTGCCATGAAAACCTGTTACTCAGTTCCGGTACTGGCTTTACTGGTATTATTTGACCACATTTTTTTTTAGGACAAAGTGATGCAAAATGAAAGGCATAGAAGCTTCTAAGTGCCATAAATTTACTCAGTAAAGCTGATAGTTGATGCTGGGTTTGAGAAGTGTGTAGGAGATGGTGCCTTTGATCATCTTACTGGAAGCAGTTGAGCTGTACATTTGCTCTCATGATTCACAAATTGTTCTGAAAAATCTTTTAACATTAACCAGTTCAAAGGCAATTTTGTTCTTGTTTGGCTCTGATTTTTTTTTTTTTGGGGGGGGGGGGGTGTGGGTAGGCATGGAATGGCTGTGTTAAGACACTTGCTGTAATGTTTTAATGTTGTAAGTGATCATAGCCATGTTTCCATCATGATGTTTAGGTCTTAAGCACAAATGACTATTTTCCAAGATTTCTAAGAAGTTTGGTGGTTGACATTTAGATTTTATCATTAACTTTTAGATCTGATCCAACTTTAACATTTTTATTTAAAAAATAAGAAGCCAGACATCTCCATCAAGTAAACTAACACTACAGTGTTACAAATTCTTTAGTGTCAAACATGTCAGAATTTTGTATGGTTTAGAATACAAGCAAACATTTCCCAGTCATTACTCATGGACCATTTATGAAATACTCGGGTGTGGGTGGCAGCAGAGCTGATGTGATGGTGACTGTCAGTTCTCTCCCTGGCACTGAGGGTATCTTGCTAGATAGTATGGTGCTGAGGGTATCTTACTAGTCTTCCTAGACTGAGGAACCCTCAGCCTAGTATTTCATGGGGGTGTGTCTCTGTAAGCCAAAGATGAGATTCCGTGCTGGCGTGTGGAAATTTGCACACTGCTGTTGGCCAATGTGAAGATCTTTGTCTGCTTTTACTGTAATAAGGAGGTGTTCTGGCTCAGCTCATACAGTTTCATTAGGTTTTGTTAGTAGTCTTTCTTCGTACCCTATCTCAGGTGTGTGCCACCAAATGCGATGGGAGGCACATGAAAATTGTGTTATCAACATACTGGGCAAACATGCCAGTTTACTGGCAAAAATAGGATGCCTTCTGAATATGTCCACCTTAATTCACTGTACTTGCAAAGCAAGAAATACTGTGAAGATGTGTTAATCACTCAGAAAACATGGAAACAAGAAAAAAATACCTTTAAATTAAGGCTTTCTTCTGGGGATCTACATTTCTTCATTTCATACTGAGCTGGAATGCTAAAAAGATATATTAGTACCTATTAAAAAAAAAAAAAAAAAGAAAACCAAAACTCTTTTTCAGTAGTGATAGTAGTTTGAGGTTTGCTTTTATTTACAGGAACACTTTTATGGAAATGACCTGTATTTTATTAGCTTTTGTTCTGTTTTATAGCACAGTCAGATAGAATGATTACATTTATTATGGACAGCTGAGCAATTTACAGAGTTAATAGTCTTAAGATAAAATAGGAATGCTTTCTGCATGTGATTGTAGAGTCATCAGATTTAAAGAAAAAGCATGACAAGCCACATCAACAAAAGCATTATTGTGAAGCTTTGTCTTTCTTCACAATTACTGAAAAATTTATTTTGAAAAAACATTTCTCACTCAGGTTTATAGTACTGCTTATCTCAAAGGAATGTTTCTCAGTTTGAGTAATTATACAATTTTAAAACTTATGCTTACTTCAGTCTGATACTTCTTGGCTGTCATTTGTAGATGAATTGACTTAGAATTTGAATGAACGTCTCATACTCCAAGCTGTGAGGTCATTCATAATTTAGAAAACAGTGCAGGTATCCAATCTGAAGAGAAATATGCTGTGTGGGGGTCTGAAGACTAGTGGACATTACAGAGCTTGGATTGACATAGGACCAAAAGCTGCTCATCATTAGCTTCTTTCCTCAGCTGCTCTAATTACAGGACTGCATTCTGATCTACTGCTGAAATGTTAATTATACATATTAAACATATTAATATTTTACAGTAGTCATTAGTATACATTAATTGGCCATGATGTACATCGTGCCAAAAATTCCTCAGAAAGCAGATTTTTATGAATGCAAAATTTCACTATGAGAAGTTTCCTTAGCAAAACATGAAAAAAGCGTAAAGAATGTCTTTCTTGTAGTGCACATTTTTCCATATTAAAAAATCAATTGAAACGA